CCACTGCAAAAAAAAATAAAAAATAAAAATTGAAGTTGATCCTTTTTAATTCTAACCAGTCCATCCAAACCTCTCTTGCAGTGATGGCTTGCATAGTCATCCTTTTCTTCTACTTTCACTTTCTGAAAATCCTCAAGATATGATGGTTGCCTAGTTGGAGTGTTCATGGTGAAACTCTACTGCTTATCTTCCACCCTCAAGATTAGCTCATTTGTTTCAAAATCCACAAGGCACGAGTAGTTGATAGGAGTGGCCTTCCTAAAATAACTGGCAGCTGATGTGCTTTATCTATGTCCAGAATGATAAAATCAGTTGGAAAAATAAAATCTCCAACCTTGATGAGCATATATTCAACTATTCCATAAGGGTATTTTAATGTTCTATTCGCCAACTGCAGGATTGTTGTAGTTGCTTTTGGATTTCACAATCCTAGTTTCCTATAATGGGACAGAGGTATCAAATTAGTATTTTCTATAGAATCAACTAAAGCATTTATACTATCTAAATTTCCTATAGAACAAGGTATATTGAAACTCCCTAGGTCTTTCAATTTGGGCGAAAGCCTATGCTGTATGATCACTGCATTCTTAAAATAATGCAACTATCTCATGTTCGGGCAGCTTCCTCTTTTTAATAAACATCTTTTTTAGAAACTTAAAATAGTTTGGAATTTGAAGAATTGCATTAATGAAAGGAATGATGACATGCAGCTTTTTGAAGATCTCTAAGAATTATGTGAGCTGTCTCTCCAACTTGATGTTTTGCAACCTTTAAGGAAACGGGATTGGAGGTGTAAGTGGATTGATAAGAATAGTTACCTTAACCTATGGACTGTCTGAAGATTTTTATTGATTTTCCTTTTTTTTATTCTTCAAGTTGATGCACTCGTTTCTCGTCCATGGTATGTCCTGTTTATTCTTAATCTCTTTCCCTTTTGCACTAATATCTGGCAATCGAAAACCATTCCTAGTTGTAATGGCTTGAACCCATTCCTCGTTTTGCTACCTTTGTAGCCTTTAAGGAAATGGAATATGTGACATATAAGTATGTTTATATAGAGCAAATTTGATCCCTAACTAGTAGTCCATGTTATTCTCTATAGCTTTGATAGCATTACATGTTCCCATAGGTTCTTCTCTATATAGTTAAGTTAGGTAACATGTTATCTGTTGGACAATGTAGCTATTATCTACCCTAGCCAAATTTCTAAGATTTGGATAGAAGCCTGCTAATTCCAAATTGCAGTCTTAGTCTTGGTGATGTACTTAACGAATAGATCCTTCAAGGATAACCTCTAATCTTGTTGTTGCTGCATTTCTAGTAAATTATCCTTCATTCGTTTTCCAGCCCTGATTATTAACGAGCTAGATGATGGGATGCTTGTTCAAACCTGGATGATAGTTGTTGGGATAATGGTTGTTTTGTTGCCTCTAGAATTTTTGTGCATAGCTCACTTCTGCATACTGAAACATATGATTGGAAGCTAAAAGGTAACCAGCAATAATATGATCTACCCTACAACCTGTGCAAACTGGGGTCGGATGGTGTACCAAATTCACAAACTGAGATAGATTGTCAGGTTTCTATATTGTTGCTTCCATCTGTGCTTCTAATGCTATCACTGCTTCAATTTATGCATACCAGTTGCTTTCTTAGGAATACTCTCATAGAGATCAAAAGCATCATCAATTTCTATCTTCGCCACTGAACCACCTACTGAAGCATCTATTATATTACACAATTCAGGGTGTAGTCCATAATAGTATACATGTGCTTGCTTAGGAATGTCGAGCTTTGGATACTTTCTAAACGAGTTTTTGAACCTTTCCCATACTTTCGTATATGTCTCGAGATCCATCTGTTTAAAAGTATGAACTTCAGTTCGAATTTGATGGACTCGAAATAGTGAAAAGAGCTTCATGGTGAATTTTTGTATCATTTCATTCCACGATATGATACTTCCGATAGGTAATGGATGGAGCTATTCTCTTGCTCTTTCGAGCTATGAGGGAATAGACACATTCAGAATGCATATGATGATATCTCCTCGTAGCTAATGACTATATACAACATTAGAAAAACTTGATATTATGATGACTCTGGAAGAGATTGATGACATCAGGTCGAATGTGAGAATTAGCCTATCCGAGGGACAAGTAGATAATTGTAGGTTGCACTATCGTAGGCACTGGATTCACAAAATTCCCAACTAATATTCGGCCCTCATTGGCGATAGTTCTCCGTTTATCTGGTGAAGGTGGTTGAATTATATCTTGTATTCAATTCTTAGCTATTGCCCTTGTTTCTCTTTAAATTCTTCTACGCTCTTTGAATGTTCTTTCGATCTTAAGATCCAATGGTAGGAGCTCAATTTTTTCAGAATTTTGTATAAACTGTTTGATAACCTGAAAGAAGTAAGACAAAAGGAGATTAGGTAGTACAAAGCTTAAAACAAAGGAAAATATTGAATTTAATATAAACTAATAAACTAGAATTAAAACCATTATTTCTGGGCAATGGTGCTAAAAATTTGTACAAACAAAATCCACAAGCATACAAGATCGTTGACAGATAATAGATTTAGTGATTAAAAGTATCATCCCACAATGAATTATTGTAATTATAGTTTACTAGTTATAATCAAATTCGATTTAATGTAATTCAAAAGAATTTTGTTTTTTTATTATTCTAATTTAAACTATAAAAGCAATAAAAGATTGATTTTATCCAAAGATGAGATGAATGCATTGGATTTCAGAAACTACCTATTGATATCTATTTCTAATTTGTGACTTATGTAAGTTAACTTGATTAATGTGTTAATGACAATCAATGATCCATTAATATCTAACATTTTTTTTCAAGATATATTAAATCTATGCTTAATGCAATCCGATTTTATTCCTAGTCTAAATTCATATGCAAAGCACGCATTCAATCAGAGGATTATCTCACAAAATTGTGCAGACCATAAATATTATTCCTAATATCTATTGCTCTTGTATTAAACACGCAGTGTTCTACTTATTGTAAGTTTTTCAAGAGCAATAGATATTAGGAACTAGTTATCCAAATGATGATAGAACATTCAAACAACACAAGATTTATGCATATTTAATTAAGAATACAAGAGTTAGCTAAAAATAATAAGTCTTGAATTAAAAACTACAAATCAACGGTTTGATCATCCATTCAATACATAAAGATTTAGCCTAACATTACCATATGAAAATTACAAAAGAAAGAGAAACAACAACACCTGAGACTAAGAAACTTGAGAAGAATGTGAAATTTTCAATTCCTCGCTTGAAGCTCGACCCCAAAAGATGCAATCCCACTCATTGAATGTAAAAATCTTTAATTTCTTGCTCTTTTATAATGAAAACTAGGTTTTATCTTATCCTTGACGTGCATTCCAATGTACAGGGCATAAAAAGATTGCATTCCATTGTTACCAAAACAAAGTAAGAAGAAAAAATAAAAATTGGCCTAGGCGCTTGCCTGGATGATCTGGGTAGCCTTATACTCCTCAAAATAGGGTAGGGTGCACGCCTTGGTTAATGTGCTGGATAGTCATCAATGTTCTTATCATTACTTTTTTTCCCAACGTCCAATTAAGGTGATTTACAATGAGTTGAAAAGATAACTCAAAAGGTTACAATTCTTATAGAATTAACATTTTTTTTTTTCAATTTGAACGTTTGCTATACTAAAAATGTATCTCAATATAATGATGAAAATTCGGAGCATAACTTTTTCGATTGAAAATTAATGTGTAATAATAATTTGACTAAATTTCATCCATTTTACTTCTTTTCTTACCAATTGACCCCTAATACATCTCAAATCTTAATCTTGAGGTCTAACAAAAGTTTTGCGTATTTTCACTTTATATCCCAAATTTTGAATATCTTACAATTTAGCCCTTTTCACCATTTTTCTTCAACTCCGTCATTTATGTCGATTTGTACCTAACAAACACAATACACATAGATTAATCTATAATTCATCAAAATAACCTATAAATCCTATAAATTAAAGGCCAAAATAAGTGTATAAAATACACTCATCAAACCAAACTCGTATCATATTTTTACATAAATTTTCTCTCAAAATAAAAGTCATGTATTTTTTTTTCATCGGGAAAATGAGTTATGAAGTGGACGTTGGCTAGAGGCTTGTTGGTATTGCTAGGTCTTTTTTCTACCATAGACTTTTAATTACATCTTGAACAACACAGTTGAAGGTACACAATTAATTTACATGTAATATCAAAGTTATAACCTATTCTTTCGAAAAATATGCAAACAGAAACCAACATATATATTATCATTTAAATGAATAAAAACCTCTAGGATATATATTTTCGGAATGCATATTCTTGTTAGAATACAAATTTCCTCCTCGTCCAGAAACAAAGTTCCGCTCTCCCTTTCGACTTGAATGAAGGAGATCTTCAGTTCTAGCTTTCTCGCTTTAGAAGCCATTATCGTTGTCCTGACAGTCCACTCACTTGGGTAGTTACAGTTTAGAGAAATTCCTTGCAAGAATTTACTGGATGTCACAGGCATCTTGTATACATTGTTACAACCCAAATTTTTCTAGTCAAAATTTAAATGTTGACTAGCCAAAGTCAAAGTCAAAGTCAATTAAGGACTAAAATGAAATTAAATATTTTATTGGGGTTTATTTTATAATTGGCCATATATGAGGGTTAAATTGGCTAAAATTTAAAGTTGAGAATTCACTTATATATATTTTTGGAAGTTTAGGATTTATAAGTTATATTCTATTAAAGAAGAGGGACCTTCCTTTGCAATTTTGAACAAGTGGGCCTTTATATTCAAACTTTGACCATTTTTTTCTCTAAAATCACACACAAACACACACTAGAATGTGTGGAGTGAGAGAGAACGTAGAGAAGAGGGAAAACCAAGGAAAAAGGGAAGAAAAGAAAAAGAAATGAAGGAAAAAAGAAGAAGAAAGAAGAAATCTTGTGCCAACTACTTCAATCTTGTTTATTTAATTCTTCAAGAGGTAAGATTAAGAATTTATGGTTTAGTTTTTGTAAATTTTTGTTTAGGGTTTTAAATTTATAGCTTATACTTGAAAAATATGATAAGGAAGCTAACTATTTGAGTATTTGGAGTTAGTTATTCTAGTGGATTGGAAGAAATGATATTTAGATATTAGGGTTTTGTTATATGTGGGTTAATCCAAAAATTTGGGGAAAAATTAGCATTTTTGTTATTTTCCTTGTGATTGTTGTATGGTATTAAGTTTGATTGGTTGAAAATAACTTATCTTATGCTTGAGTTCTCACTTTGGATGAATATGAAGAATATAAGAAAGGAGCTTTTGATAAGATTTATGTATTTAGTTAAAAGAGAATTTAAATAAGGAATGTGGATGATTATTATCATGAAAAGCTTGTTGAATCTTCATGTGGTAGCCGGGAAAGGTTGGTATTAACGAGTTAAGGATGTAGAGTGATTCAAAATTAAGTGAACATATGTTTAAGTAACCAATGAAATATAAATATTAAGTCTCAGCTTATTGCTTATTGAGGGATATATATTTTATTTTGATGATAAGAAGGGGTTATTATTGAGAAATCCTTTGTAACTGTATGTGGATGGAATTGAAGTGGCTTATATTTATGATAGTTTCAGGAGGGGATTTGGACGTGGGAGCAGCATACCAGCCCCGTTAGTCCAGCTTATATCTGTGAGTGGAGAATCTACGTCTTCAAAAAGAAGATTTTTCTTTTTATTTTACAGAAACATGTTAATTACATGAAATGCTTTATTTTCGAGAATTAGTAAATGAGCATGATTGTTTTGAAATTATCATAAAATAATTGATGTGATTATCTTACTCTAGTGCACTGAGGGGCTACGACCGTGTACTAGAGTCATGTATTTAACTCTTATCCACTGAAGGGCTACGTCCGTGGGTAAAGGTATCCAATATACACTGAGGGGCTACAGCCGTATGTAAAGGTAATTCTTATCGACTGAGGGGCTACGATCGTGGGTAAAGGTATCTATTATACACTGAGGGGCTACATCCGTGTATAAGGATGATTATGTTGTTTCCATCTTGTACACTGAGGGATTACGACCGTGCACAGAATATTGATCAGATGGTTTATGTACATATGATTTATAGCTTTTAGATCATTAGTAGATGTTTACATGTGATATATTTTGATGATGTGAATTTTAATTATATAGTGGATTATTAGTCTTCAACTTACATTTTCCCGTTTATAGTTCAGCTTGTGGATTTTAGATTATGGTTTTAGATTATTGAATTGTCTAATGTACTTACTCATCTGGTTGTATATATTTATATATGACAGTACAACCATCTTTTAAACACTCCACTCACTGGGATTATTATCTCATATTTTTCTTAACTTTTCCTTAGAGGAGGCTGTTGACTGAGCTGTGGTGGAGATTATTTTTATAGTTGATAAGTGTGTTTTTACACACTTATTTAGATCACAAACATGACTTAATTATAAGCAAAATATTTAAATTGTGACTTAATCTCATTGAATTCATAGGTGTTTCTATGGAAATGGTGGAATTCAGGAGAAAAGAGCTGAAAAAGGACAAAAATGGAGCAAAGTGATAGTTTAGGGATCAAAGTGTAATTATCCAAAAGATGGTCCGAAGGACAAATCAAGGAAGTGAATGAGCTAAGTACAAATTTGGTAATATTATGAGATGATGGAAATAAAAGAAACAAGCAAAAAGGACAAAAATGAATCAAACTGAAAGTTCAGGGTCCAAGTTGCAAATAATCCATAGATGAGACGGGAAATGGAATGAAGATTCAAGAGTGTTAGAGGTCAATCGGATGAGGAAAGGAATCAAAGAGGTGAAATATGGTCGAAGTATTATCAAGTATTACCTTTCAGGCGAAAAAACTATGCTCGTGATTTTTAGTCTCTACTTGAGATTCATTTTTGGCATAGTAAACATCAGAATTTGAGAAGGCCTATTTCTATCAAAAGTGTATATCTTTGAGTTTTCTTCCCAATTCACTTTGAATCATATCAATCGGAGATCAGAAGAGAAAGTTATAATCAAAATACTAAAAACTATCCGGCAAAAAGAATGATATAACTATGCGGTCGCATGGTATAAACTTCTATGCGGTCGCATAGAGGCCTCCCGAGAATTTTTTCTCAAATTTTTTTTTACTCTATGCGATAGCATAGAAATGTACTATGCGGTCGCATAGAACAAGATTCGGGGTCAATTCTGCAGTTTCCTTTTACGATTGAAACTCTTTTGGTAACATAATTTTCAAGCAATATAAATACCAAAAGACATCCAAAAAGAGAGAGAACATAATTGGAGGCAGAAAAACACTTCTTAGAGAAGATTTTGAGCACAAGAACGAAGATTGGTATGAAGAGCTTCAAGATTTCTTCAAGATCTCATAACCCGGTGATGCCTTTTATTCAAAACCTAATGTATTTTGTTATTTCAACTATATTAGGCTAAATTCTCATGTGCTAGGAGATCGATGTACCATGTAGTTAGATCTTTAATTTTCTAGTTTTTCAATTTGACAGAAAGACATATTTATATTGTTTTGCATGATTTATATGCAATTATTGTTTCCGCAATTAAGGGCTCGTAATTGTGTGAGTTTGGGTGATTTATTCTTGCATTCGAGAGAATTGGAATAGGTTCAACATAATATAAATCATCATAGGGTCCGATAGGGGATAGAAATATACTACTATGCCCTACGTGAATCTTTAAGTGTTCATAAAATCACATGCATTTTTACATATGCACTTGTCATAGAAATATAGGCCGGTGGTATGTAGAAATGGATTTGATACATCTCGAGAGAGAGTATTGGATAGACTTACGAACATTGATTCATCACAATTGAAGTGTGTTGTCACATTGTGAAACTAGGGTTTTAAAGTGATAATTGCATGAGAAATTGTGATTCTAGTGTGTTTAATTTCTATTGATTACAACAAACGTGCGTTCTTAACATTTGATTTCATTCTAGAGTGTTAAAAAATATTGTTTTGCATATTTAATTTAAGTCAATCATAAAAATTGCATTATTAGGGTTTTCTTTCCAAAATTAGGGTTTCAATTAGGTTCACGTCCACTTTAGTAATTTAGTTTCGATTAAGGCGATGATAAGTAAAATTGAACTAATCAATCTTTGTGGGACGATATTCGAACTCATTTAATCCACTTTATTACTTGTTAACGAACCGTACACTTGCGGTAGTTTTAAATCGAAAGAAATAATTTTGTGAACAATAGTTTTGCAGCCATTACTACCACCAATTGTAGGTTTTTTTGTTTGAAATTGTGTAATTATCAAGTGAAATATTTGCATCATATTGGAGGAATTTTTTTGGTATTTATATGCACCAATGATCATGATGGAATATTGTAATCTAAATTGCCTTCTATTATCCTTTTGAGAGGCAGTTATGATGAAAATGATATGGATGTTTTTGGCTAGACGAGCGAATGATATTATTATGTTGGTATGTTAGAGTTCAGAAAGATTTTAATTGGTCAAATGAAGCTTTATTATTAAAATTTACCTTGGTGATGATTCTAGTGCCTAGCTGGCACTTATCATTGACGCACGTCACGTCTTGAGTCTTGGGACGGGATGTGTCAAGTGGTATCAGAGCATGGTTCAAGAGTCTCTGGGATATGCTGTATTTATTCTGATCTTTCAACATGTTATGCATATTGTTGGTTAAGGATGCAAAGTGGCAGAGCGAGTTGGCGTAGAAACCAACCACCTGAAAATCTAAATGCCCCTACAACAGAAGATGTCGGTGAGGCATCAATTCATCAGACGCAAGGACTGCCGACACAGGGTAATGTGGTTGGAAATGATCCCCTATTCGACAGACTCGCTACAGCCATTACCTCTATTCTTCCCAACCCAGATAGAGATACTAGTATCGAGAGGGCAATTAAGCTCGGTGCTAAACATTTTGGCGCACGTCACGTCTTGAGTCTTGGGACGGGATGTGTCAAGTGGTATCAGAGCATGGTTCAAGAGTCTCTGGGATGTGCTATATTTATTCTGATCTTTCAACATGTTATGCATATTGTAGGTTAAGGATGTGTTGTGGGAGAGCGGGCAGGCGTAGAAACCAACCACCTGAAAATCCAAATGCCCTTACAAGAGAAGATGTCGGTGAGGCATAAGTTGATCAGACGCAAGGACTATCGACACAGGGTAACGTGGTTGGAAATGATCCCCTATTCGATAGACTCGCTACAGCCATTACTCTATTCTTCCCAACCTAGATAGAGATACTAGCATCGAGAGGGCAATTAAGTTCGGTGCTAAACATTTTGTGGGCACAACTAACCCTGCTGATGCTGAGGAATGGTGAGGAATTTAGAAAGTATTTTTGATGTTATGGATTGTTCTGAGGAAAAGAAACTATGCCTTGCTACTTTCTTGCTGAAAGGTGTGGCAGCTGACTGGTGGGTTGCTTTTCAAAGCAGGTATCGTGAAGCCAGTAACATCACATGGGCTATTTTTAGAGATGCTTTCTTTGAGACTTACTATCCTCTTTCATACAAGAATACCAAGCAAAATGAGTTCTTGAGACTGACTCAAGGTTCAATGACTGTTTCTGAATATCACACCAAGTTTGTGGAGCTTTCAAAGTATGCATTAGTTCTAGTAAATGAGGAGAATGACAAACGTAAACGATTTGAAGAGAACTTGAGGCTTGATATTAGGGCGATGGTGACGGGGCACGGACATGCCATATTTGGTCCACTAGTTGAGGCGGCCTTGAGAGTCGAGGCAGCATTACAAGTAGGACAGAGTCAGGGGATTCAGTTAGCTATTCGGTAAAATCAAAGTCAGACAGGAACCTCTAGTGGACAGCATAAAAAGAACAGAAGAAGATTTTGGCCTGGTGTTACTCATACTGGGAGTTTCAAGTCGAGATCTCAGAGTTTTGGATCCAATCAAGAATCCGATCATAGTCATAACTCCATCAACCAACTAACACATCGTCAATCTTCAGTTCAGAGGGCTATGGCCTCGAGACCTATCGACGGCCTTAGTCGTACTCAATATCCTCCTTGTCATATTTGTGGAAAACTCTATCTTGGAAAGTGTCTTAAGGGTACCAATGGATGATTTGTGTACGGACAAGAGGGACATTTAAGGAAAGATTATCCAGCTCGATTTCAGGAGGGAGGCTCATCTCAGGGGACAAGTATACAGATAGGGACTAGTGATGCCAGATCGAGATAGAATGAAAAGGAAATTTTGACAAGTAATGTAGGTTCGACTAGTAGAGTACAGACTGATGTAGCCAGTGGCAGTGATTCCAGGCAGAGGGGATAGTCAGGACGTACTCAGACTCAGGGCAGAGTGTTTGCTATAACATAATAGGAGGCCGAAGAATCACCTGACGTAGTTATGGGTATGTTATCTATTTTTAGTAGAAATGCTTGTTCTTTAATTAATTTGGGTGCTACACATTCCTTTATTTCTCATGCACTTGCTAGCCATGCTAATAAAATGTCAAAGCCTTTAGACAGTGAATTAGTAGTAATGACTCCTGTAGGGGATTTACTTTTAGCTAGTTGGGTATACAAAGATTGTGGGATTAGAGTGAACGATCATGAGTTGAAAGCAGATCTAATTCTACTCGATATTCATGATTTTAATGTTATTTTGGGGATGGACTTTTTATCTAGACATTGTGCTTTAGTCGATTGTTTTTGCAAGGAAGTGATATTTAGAAGTCCAGAAAATTTTGAAATTGTTCTCACTGAAGAGCGCAGAATTTTGTCATCTTGTATGATATCTATCCTTGATGCCCAAAGAATGCTCAAAAAATGTTGTCATGCATATTTGGCTCATGTGATTGATACTCAGATCACTAAGCTGGAAATTGACGATATATCAGTTGTGCGAGATTTTCCCGATGTCTTTCTAGAAGACCTTCCAGGATTACCCCCAGGCAGGGAGATCGAATTCTGTATTGATTTGATTTCTGGGACAGCACCTATTTCACAGGTACATTATCGAATGGCTCCGAAAGAGTTGAAAGAATTAAAGGTACAATTACAATATTTGGTGGATAAAGGTTTCATTAGACCCAGTGTATCTCTATAGGGAGTACATGTTTTATTTATGAAAAAGAAAGATGGCACAATGAGATTGTGTATTAACTATAGATAGTTGAATAAGATGACTATTCGCAATAAGTACCCTCTACCCAGCGTTGACGATTTGTTTGATCAACTTCGAGGTGCCTCAGTATTTTCAAAGATTAATTTGCGTTCAAGCTATCATCAACTCAAAATTAGGGATGTGGATGTACAGAAAACTGCTTTCAGGTCGCGATATGGGCATTATGAGTTTTTAGTGATGCCATTTGGGTTGACTAATGCCCCAGCTGCATTTATGGACTTGATGAATAAGGTAATTCACCCATATTTAAACAAATTTGTGATTTTTTTATTGACGATATATTGGTTTATTCTCACACTCGTAATGAACATGCTGAGCATTTGAGGATTATCTTGCAAACTTTGCGAAATAAGCAGTTGAATGCTAAATTTAGCAAATGTAAATTTTGGCTGGATAAAGTTGTATTTCTAGGTCATGTTATCTCAACAGAAGGTATTTATGTAGATCCTCAGAAGATTGAGGTAGTAATGAAATGGGATCGCCCTACTAATGTTATAGAAGTACGGAGTTTCCTTAGGCTAGCAAGTTATTATCGACGATTCATAGAGGATTTTTCCAAAATTGCTCTTCCTCTGACTAGTTTGACTCGAAAGAACATCAAATTTGTGTGGAATAAGGAATGTAAGAAGAGTTTTCAAGAGTTGAAGAAAATGTTAACTTTTACTCCTATACTTACTCTTCCATCTCTAGGTGAAAAATTTGTGATTTATAGTGATGCTTCACGCCAAGGATTGGATTGTGTTCTAATGCAGAATGGAAAAGTTGTAGCTTATGCTTCTAGACAATTGAAGAAGCATGAGTTAAATTACCCAACTCATGATTTGGAGTTAGTTGCAATAATGTTGGCATTGAAGATTTGGAGACATTACCTTTATGGTGAGAAATGTCAAATATTTACGGACCATAAAAGTCTAAAGTATATCTTTGATCAGAAGGAATTGAACTTGAGGCAAAGAAGATGGCTGGAGTTGATAAAGGATTATGATTGTAAGATTGACTACCATCCGGAGAAAGCTAATGTAGTTGCAGATGCTCTCAGTAGAAAGACTAGTTCTTCATCTCCATCTAGTGCAGTATATGCTTCTTTGATTTGTGAGTTCAAAAAGTTACATACTCAGTTGTCAGTTACTATTTCAGGGGCAATATTAGCTCATTTTCAAATGAGGCCTTCTTTGATTGATAAGGTTAAAGAAGCTCAATCTCAAGACTTGACATTGAGAACAGTGAAAGCAGAAGTTAGTGTAGGGTTACGGACGGATTATGTGATTAGAGATGATGGGTCGTTAGCTATGGGTAATAAATTATGTGTTCCAGATATTCCAGAATTGAAGAATGAAATTTTAGAAAAGGCACATAGTTCTGCTTATGCTATGCATCTAGGTAGTATTAAAATGTATCATACATTGAAAGATCATTATTGGTGGAAAGGTATGAAGAGGGAGATAACAGATTTTGTATCCAAATGTCTTATATGTCAGCAGGTAAAGCCAGTTCGTCAGAAAATAGCAGGACTTTTACAGCCATTGCCTATTCCAGAATGGAAGTGAGAACACATTACTATGGACTTCTTGTTTGGTCTTCCTTGTACTCAGAATGGTCATGATGGTGTTTGGGTGATTGTGGATTGTTTGAACAAAACTGCCAGATTTTTACCAATCAAAATCACTTATTCTTTGAGTAAGTTAGCAAAGTTGTACGTGGATGAAATAGTTAGCTTATATGGTGTTCCAGTATCTATTGTATCTGATAGAAATCCCCAGTTTACATCCAAATTTTGGCCTAGTTTATAGAAAGCTTGGGTACTAAACTACATTTCAGTACATCTTTTCATCCTCAGACAGATGGTCAGTCAGAGAGGACCATACAAACTCTTGAGGATATGTTGATGGAGTTCAAAGTTAGTTGGGATACTCATTTGTCTTTAATGGAGTTTGCTTATAATAACAGTTACCACTCCAGTATAGAAATGACTCCTTTTGAAACTTTATATGGTAGAAAGTGCAGAGCACCAGTATGTTGGAGTGAAGTTGGTGAAAGAAAGTTAGTGGGCCCTGATTTGGTTCAAATGGCTTCAGAAAATGTGAAATTGATTAGAGAAAATTTGAAAATAACACAAGACATACATAAAAGTTATGCAGAAAGGTAGGAAAGATCTTGAATTTGCAGTTGGAGATAAAGTCCTTTTGAAATTGTCACCTTAGAAAGGAGTATTGAGATTGGACAAATGAGGAAAGTTGAGTCCACGATATATTGGACCTTATCAGATTATTGAGCGGATTGGGCCAGTTGCATATCGATTAGATCTGTCAGATGAATTATCTCGAATCCATGATGTTTTTCGTGTTTTCATGCTTCATAAGTACATTGCAGATCCTTCTCATGTTCTAGAGTCTCAACCAGTTCAGTTGGAAGAAAATTTGACTTACGTAGAAGAGCCATTGAGAATTTTAGGCAAAAAGGTGCAAATTTAGCGAAACAAGACAGTTTCACTTGTTAAGGTATTTTGACAGAATTAGACAGTAGAAGAGACTACATGGAAAAACGAGGATCAGATGCGTGCTCAATAGCCTCATTTATTCATTGCCTAATCAGTTGCCAATTGAATTTCGACGACAAAATTATTATAAAGGGGTAAGATTGTTACAACCCAAAATTTTATAGTCAAAATTCAAATGTTGACTAGTCAAAGTCAAAGTCAAAGTCAATTAAGGAATAAAATGAAATTAAATATTTTATTGGGGTTTATTTTATAATTGGCTAAATATGAGGGTTAATAGGCTACAATTTAAAGTTGGGAGTTTACTTTTATATATTTTTGGAAGTTTAGGATTTAAATGTTATATTCTATTAAAGAAGAGGGACCTTCCTTTGCAATTTTGAACAAATGGGCCTTTATATTCAAACTTTGACCATTTTTCTCTAAAATCACACACAAACACACACTAGAATGTGTTGAGTGAAAGAGAACGTAGAGAAGAGGGAAAAACCAAGGAAAAAGGGAAGAAAAGAAAAAGAAAGAAAGGAAAAAGGAAGAAGAAAGAAGAAATCTTGTGCCAACTACTTCAATCTTGTTTATTTAATTCTTCAAGAGGTAAGATTAAGAATTTATGGTTTAGTTTTTGTAAATTTTTGTTTAGGGTTTTAAATTTATAGCTTATACTTGAAAAATATGATAAGGAAGCTAATTATTTGAGTATTTGGAGTTAGTTATTCTAGTGGATTGGAAGAAATGATATTTAGATATTAGGGTTTTGTTAAATGTGGGTTAATCCGAAAATTTGGGGAAAAATTAGCATTCTTGTTATTTTCTCTTGTGATTGTTGTATGGTATTAAATTAGATTGGTTGAAAATAATTTATCTTATGCTTGAGTTCTCACTTTGGATGAATATGAAGAATATAAGAAATGAGCTTTTGATAAGATTTATGTATTTAGTTAAAAGAGAATTTAAATAAGGAATGTGGATGATTATTATCATGAAAAGCTTGTTGAATCTTCATGGGGTAGCCGGGAAAGGTTAGTATTAACGAGTTAAGGATGTAGAGTGATTCAAAATTAAGTGAACGTATGTTTAAGTAACCAATGAAATATAAATATTAAGTCTCAGCTTATTGCTTATTGAGGGATATATATTTTATTTTGATGATAAGAAGGGGTTATTATTGAGAGATCCCTTGTAACTGTATGTGGATGGAATTGAAGTGGCTTATATTTATGATAGTTTCAGGAGGGGATTTGGACGTGAGAGCAGCATACCAGCCCCGTTAGTCCAGCTTATATCTGTGAGTAGAGAATCTATGTCTTCAAAAAGAATATTTTCTTTTTATTTTATAGAAGCATGTTAATTACATGAAATGCTTTATTTTCAAGAATTAGTAAATGAGCATGATTGTTTTGAAATTATCATAAAATAATTGATGTGATTATCTTGCTCTAGTGCACTGAGGGGCTACGATCGTGTACTAGAGTCATATATTTAACTCTTATCCACTAAGGGCCTACGGCCATGGGTAAAAGTATCCAATATACATTGAGGGGCTACAGCCGTGTGTAAGGGTAACTCTTATCCACTGAGGAGCTACGATTGTGGGTAAAGGTATCCATTATACACTGAGGGGCTACAGCCGTATATAAGGATGATTATGTTGTTTCCATCTTGTACACTGAGGGGCTACAACCGTGTACAGATAATTGATCAAATGGTTTATGTACATATGATTTGTAGCTTTTAGATCATTAGTAGATATTTACATGGGATATATTTTGATGTAAATTTTAATTATA